AAGAATACATTTAACCTAAGTTTCCCTATTTTAAAATACAGCTTGTATCACTATACCTTCTGAGTAATTTTGAGAGAGTCTTGCTGACTGTATGTTTAATTATTGAGGTACAGTGTTGTTTTTTTGAATTGTGAAAAATTTGACTAGTAATTTATCTGGGGATTTTTTGAGGGGGGTTCATTAAGTTATAATTCCTTAACCAGGACATTCTTTTAGATTGGTCAGTGATAAGTAAATTGTCTTGAAGTGGTGGTACCAGTACCAAGCCACCTGTAGTGAATTCTGCATCTATTCCTTGTTGCAAAAGTGAACAAAGGCATATGTTTAGTCTGAGATTATAGGAGTTTATAGTTTAGTTCTTTAAGCAAGGAATATTATTGTTGTTTCTTTCATCAACATGAATATGGACCATATTCTTCTGGCAGCAGATAGAAACTAATCTTGAAGAGCCACAATATCCAGCAACAGTAATGTACAGATATCTTGGTGCCTCACTGTAAATGCCCCTATAAATGGCATGTAGTACATTGATATATGTTTAAGTACAGTGTGGATAAATTTCATTCCTTAAATAGATCCTGAAGCCAGCATTATTTGAGACATTTATGGAATATTATATGCTGAAGAATGAGCTTTGAGATTGGCTTGTTAGAGCAGTGAATATGTTTTATATATAGATTGTTTCCCTACAGTCTGTTTTCATAGCCTTTTAAACATATATACATAGCTTCGAGTTTCTCTGCTCAAATTACATTCATAGCAAAGGGGAAAGTAGTAACTTTCAATTGGAGAAACTTGGTCGATCACCTTGACCAAGTGATCAAAGTTAATGTCACCAATATTGGAACAAACTGGGATCATGTGCTTCCTAATAAGATACACTGGGAAGGACACAACTTCACTTCTGTGGTGTTCTTGCCAAAAATGCATAAACTGAGTCTAATGGTGATGAAACATCAAAGAAACCGAAATTGAGGGACATTCTACAAAGTAACTGACCTGTATTGTTAAAAAATGTCAAGGTCAAGAAAGGCAGTGACTGAGGAATGTTCTAGATTAAAGGAGACTAAAGAGACATAACTATATGTGATGTGTGATCCTGGATTGGAACCTGAACTGGAGGCAAAAAGGATATAAATTACCTTATTGGGACAATTGATGGAATTTGAATATAGACTATGGAATTTTATCTTTCCTGATTTTGATAATTGCACTGTAATTATGTAGGAGAAAGTCCATTTTCTTAGGAGGTACACATGAAATGTTTAGGGATAGAGGGGCATAATGTTTCTAACTTATTCTTGGTTGTGAAAGAAAAGTGTATGTATACGTGCACATGTGTATATAGAGAGAAGATGATAAAGCATATGGGACAAAATATAAACATATGCTGAATCTGAGGAGAGGTTATGTGAGATTTCCTTGTGCTGTTCCTGCAACTTTTCTGTAAGTTTGAAATTATAATAAAAGTTAAAAAGTATAACTTGAGTTGGTGTTAAAATTCTTTAATCCAGTTCACTGTCATAGTTTCATTTACTTTTTTATGCTCCCTTGCAGAATAGCTTTTAAACCAAGATGCTTAATTATGCCTTCCGATTCTGGGATCCTTCAGACTCCAGAACAGTTTGTATTAGGCTTAAAAGCAACCATGTTGTAACATCAGTGGGAGATGAGATCAAGGAAAATTTCAGAGTTTAGGCAGTTAGGTGGGAAAACAGTAACTTTGCATTTCTACCTTAATACTGTGGTTTCAAAATGTCTCTTGAACTGTAAATTTTAAAAATATCAGACACAGACATGTTCAAACAAAGACATTCTCAAAAACTCTTGCCAGATTGACATTTTTTAAGGTATACTTTTTTCTATGTGCTTTATTAAATTAGAGAATAGCTCTAATTACTGCCTGGCTTATGAAATAGCTGGGAGTTATGCTTGTTTTATTTGTGGTTCGAACCTGAAATTCAACTTGATAATGTTATGTGAAGCCTCTTTAAGTTCTACTTTTTTTCTTAAAATAAGTGTTTTTTTGACTTTGAAAGTATTATTTGCCTATTGTAAAAAAAAAAAAAAGTTAGAAGAAAACAAAATTACTCATAATCATACATTCCAGAAGTAACTGCTGTTAAGAGTATTTCTTTTCTGTAGTTTAAAAAAATATGATTGGCATTATATTTGTATACGATTTAACCATGCTTCTTTCATGTAACATATCATGCACATCTTCCCACATCATTGAAAATTCTTTGACCTTATTATTTTTAAACTTTAATAATATTCCATCATATGGTGTACTACAATTTATTTATTTACTTTTTTCTGAGATATTAATTTGGAAGGCAAATAACCAACTCATCCTGGTTATAGATATGGAAGATACAGTAGAGTGAATATTTTAATTTATATAGTTTACAAACAAGTAATTGGACCTCTATTTTTATTGGTCCTCGATTTCTGTTATCTTTTGAGAAGAATTGTTTGAAAGAAGAGCTTTTAATAGTCTTACCAGTATTTTTTTATAGTAAAGAATAAATCTGGAAGTGTGCTTTTTTTTTGTATGTTAATCCTTAAATGTTTCGAATTTTATTTTATTTTATTAATTTATTTGTTTGGTGAGGAAGATTAGCCCTGAACTAACATCTGTTGCCAATCCTCCTCTTTTTGCTGAGGAAGATTGGCCCTGGGCCAACATCCATGCCCATCTTCTTCCACTTTATATGTGGGACACCTGCCACAGCATGGCTCAATGAGCAGTGTGTAGGTCTGTGCTTGGGATCTGAACCTGCAAACCCCGGGCCACCAAAGTGGAGCGTGTGAACTCAACCACTATGCCACCAGGCCAGCCCCTGGAATTTTATTTTTAATGTGTATGTATAGATATTTTATCAAATTAAAAATTTATAGGGGCCGGCCCTGTGGCCTAGTGGTTAAGTTCAGCATGCTCCACGTCGGCAGCCCGGGTTCGAGGGTTCAGTTCCTGGGCACGGACCTACACCACTCATTGGCGGCCATGCTGTGGTGGCGACCCACGTACAAAATAGAGGAAGATTGGCACAGATGTTAGCTTAGGGCGAATCTTCCTCAAGCAAAAAGAGGAATATTGGCAATGGATGTTAGCTTAGGGCAAATCTTCCTCAGAAAGAAAGAAAAAAAAATTTATAAAATTAAGATTTCTATTTGGCAGGTATGAATATTTAGGGATTCTTGAGATTATATATTTTACTTCAAAAGTATGTAAGATAAATTATACTCAAAAGTTAAATTGTTAGATATTCAGGGCCGGCCCCATGTCGCAAGTGGTTAAGTGCGCGTGCTCCGCTGCGGCAGCCCGGGGTTCGCTGGTTCGGATCCCAGGCGCGCACCAACGCACCACTTGGCAAACCATGCTGTGGCGGCGTCCCATATAAAGTGGAGGAGGATGGGGACGGATGTTAGCCCAGGGCCAGTCTTCCTCAGCCAGAAAAGAGGAGGATTGGCAGATGGTAGCTCAGGGCCGATCTTCCTCATGCAAAAAAATAAAAAAAATAAAATGCCATTGTTGTAGAATTATCTGACTAGAAAACACATGTGAATAGTTGCAAGTTTTCCCTTTTTTTGATTGAGTCTTTATAGTTCTCCAGCTATAAAGATAGATTCCTTCCTAACAAAGCAGTTGCTTTAAGTGTATGTACTATAAGTAATAGGTTCATTAGTGATTGTATATGAGTAAGTTATACCTTCTCTGGTGCTATAAGGTCATCGTGATCTAAGTGTGTGGTGGTGTCTCAAACTTCAGAAATGAATACCTCAGATAATTATATATTGCATTCATCTGGAAGGAATCTACTAGTAGGCTCACTCAAAAGATTGTTAATGTCTCTTACAATTTCATGTTTTGGCAGGTAAACCTAGCCTTTAAGCAACCTGGAAAGAGGCTAGAGCACCAAGGAATTAGAATTGAATTTGTAGGTCAAATTGGTGAGTTTTGAAATAGTATTACTTTTTTTTTTCTTTGATAACTGAATTTGAAGAGGGTTGGATTTGGCACTTAAATAATTGAATTAGAGCTTAGCTTTGTGGAAGGAAGGAATTGATTTTGGCATAATAAAAGGAGGATTTATCTTATAAACATTAAATCAAATGTTTCTTTTAATTGTATTAAATGATATTTGATTCATCCTGCCTTTATTTGTTATTAAACTTAATTATTGAAAATAAAAGGAGTCATGTAAGCTGCCAGTCTTGAAAAATAATGCAAATAAATTAGTTGACTCAAATTTCCATCTGCCTACATTTTTCACGAGCTTTACTCACAGTTACCAGTGTCACCTTCATCCCTCACTTTCTAATTACCCATGCCATTTGTCTTCCTAACCTAGTTGTGCCTGTACCCAGACGCACCTGTCAACAGAAAATTCCATGTGAAAAGGAAAGGTGTAATTTCTTCTTGACTTAGATCAACTTGTGTATATTTCCATACATGTATTTCAGAGACATTCTTGATTTAGCAGGAGTTAAACTGTATAAATCTTTTGGCACTGCAGATTCAGAAAAGAGAAAAGAAAATAGGTCTTTATAATACTGTATACATGGCTAGGTTTTAAATCTAGCTTTCTAAGTTTTACTGTACATTTTTAAAGTATCAAAATTGGAAAGCGTGGATATTTGTTTACATGTTTATTCTAGATGAGTTATACTTGAGGGGAAAATTATAGTAATTAACTGATAGTTCATTTTAGTCTTTTGTGTATTTTAGTTTTATCAAGGTAATATATTTGCCTGCCTAAAGCAAACCACAAAACACTTTTTGGGGGCCGGCCCGGTGGCGCAAGCGGATAAGTGCGCGCGCGCTCTGCTGTGGCGGCCCAGGGTCCGCTGGTTGGGATCCCGGGTGCGCACCGACGCGCTGCTTGGCAAGCCATGCTGTGGCGGTGTCCCATATAAAGTGGAGGAAGATGGGCACGGATGTTAGCCCAGGGCCAGTCTTCCTCAGCAGAAAAAGAGGAGGATTGGCAGATGTTAGCATAGGGCTGATCTCACAAAAAAAAAACAAAAAACACTTTTTGCCTTGAAGGGATGAAGTTCAAATAATTGCTGGAAATGTGTCTCTTAAAACAGCTTCATATTGGGCAAACTCTAACTACATTAGAGAAATGAATTCATTTTTTTATAATAGAAGTTTTCATTGGGCTGTGCTATGGGAATTTTTTTATGCCGAGGTGGAGCATAATAATAAGAAAGATAATGGAGTTCAGATCATAGCTCTAGTATATTAAAGCAGAGACAAATCCAACTAATTCTTTTGGTAAAAATTATTTGCTTTGGAGGTAGAAGTTTGGGTTTTAATGAAATGGATATTAACAGTAACTGGTCTTTTTGCTTTTTAAAATTTCTTAGAACTGTTCAATGACAAGAGTAATACTCATGAATTTGTAAACCTAGTGAAAGAACTAGCCTTACCTGGAGAACTGACTCAGAGCAGAAGTTATGATTTTGAATTTATGCAAGTTGAGAAGCCATATGAATCTTACATCGGTGCCAATGTCCGCTTGAGGTACGAATGTGTATTAGAAACTGTAGACAGAGTCAAAACCAGAAAGTAATGGCTACTATTGAATGTCTTATTAGAACTTCTGATTATAGTTCTGGACTGGAAGACTTAAGAGTTTAAAAAATTCTGTCAAATATTTTGTTTTGTCTGGATAATGCAGATCTGAGGTACTAAGAGCCTTATATCTATAATGATATCTAAATCTATAATGATTTAGAGAACCCCATTATGAGAAATTTTAGTCATACACTTCCCTTGTATTAATCATCCCTTAGGTACTTCATTTGTTGTATAAATGGAATTACTCTCTAAATCCTTTAGTTTCCCAACAACTCTCATTTAGTGTATGGTTAAGAAGTGATCTAGAAAGTAGGCTTGATGGTAGCACTCCAAATTCATCTAAAAAGTATATACACTATTCTTAAAATTAGACTCTGTATTTTTTTCATGGTAGGGGCATTTATTTAACAATTAGAAGTCCTTCATGAAGTAAATGAAGTAAGTTGATTCCAAAGGAGTTGCAGCAAGGAGAAGCTGAGTTGCAGTTCAGGTTTGCTTATTTAAAACACCGAAATTTATCATAGAAGATTTAACTTGTCCTCTTTACCATTAACTTTGTAGGTATTTTCTTAAAGTGACAATAGTAAGAAGACTGACAGACTTGGTAAAAGAATATGATCTTATTGTTCACCAGCTTGCCACCTATCCTGATGTTAACAACTCTATTAAGATGGAAGTGGGTATCGAAGATTGTCTACACATAGAATTTGAATATAATAAATCAAAGTAAGTACTTTTCACAAACAGGTAACTTAGATGTTCAGGGAAAATTAAGAAATAAGCTTTTCAGGTCTTTGTAAATCGGTCAAAGTAAGGGTAGAATTGACATTACTCTGGTGTTAACAGACCAACAGAATCTCTGAGCTGAAGGAAACTTGAGGAGTTTGGTCTGGCTTCCGACTCATTGCAGGTGTCTTTCATATTCTATTCCTGATAAGTCTCTGCTTGGCCATTTTTTGTAGAGGATCTCACCATCTCAGAGGGCAGCTAATCCCTAGGTCTGTAAACATTTATGTTACTGGCCTGACATCACTTTGGCCTGGTCACTTCTTTAAAACTAAACAAAAATACTTTTTTTCTGACTACATAAGCAATACATTTTCATTATTGAAAAATCTGACAATGTAGAAAAGTCAAGTGAAGTAAAAATATCACATATTTTCACCTTACCACTTAACCACAGTTAACATCCTCTTGTATATCTTTACATGGGGGAGAGGGAGATTTATATATATATATTTATATATGTTGTATTTTTACAGAAATGGGCTCTTATTTTGTTAATCGTTTAATGCCTTTTTAAACTTTATTATGGAAAATTTCAAACATATACCAAAGCGTATGAACAATATAATGAATCCTCATGTACTCACTGCCCAGCTCCAGCAGTTATCAACACATGGTTGGATTTGTTTTATCTGTATTCAGCCCCCACACTCCCCATGGATTATATTGAAGCAAATTCCAGATACATAATTTTATCCTTAAAAATTATCTATCATTTTTAATATGACCACAATACTGTTATATCTAAAAATATTAATAATTCCTTAATATCTTCACATATCCAGTCAATGTTCACATTTCCCTAATTATCTCATAAATGTGTTCTTTTTCCTGACTTGGATTGTTTAAATCAGTATCCAAACAAGATTTGTTCAAATCCAGTGCATCCAAAACATATTGCATTTGATTATTTGACTCTTAAATCTCTTAATTTATAGGTTTTCCCCCTATTTTTTTCATTAAAGTTTATTTGTTGAAGAAATGGAAGTACACTCTTTTTTTTTTTTTATAATTTTATTTATTTATTTTTTTTCCCCCAAAGCCCCAGTAGATAGTTGTATGTCATAGCTGCACATCCTTCTAGCTGCTGCATGTGGGACATGGCCTCAGCATGGCCGGAGAAGCGGTGCGTCGGTGCGCGCCCAGGATCCAAACCCGGGCCGCCAGTAGCGGAGCGCGCGCACTTAACCGCTAAGCCACGGGGCCGGCCGTGGAAGTACACTCTTTTGTCTCCTTCCGTTGCACTCTTCTGTTACCTGATTTTTATTAGTTGCCACTCCCTGGTTTACATCACTGAAAATGTGATATGCAGGTCTTCAGAGTCTTAAATTATATTGTTGATAAAATTATCAGATCGTTTAGGACCTAAAGACTTTGTTATTGAAAGCCTTCCTTCAGACTGACATAATCGCATTAATCAACTCTTGGGTTATTATTTTGAGATCCAAACCTGGGAAGAAGGCTAAAAAAGCCCTCTGGATATTGTAGGGATTCTCAGATTTATTACCACATCATTTCAAGGTACACCGGGAAAGGTCTTTGATTCTTAGATATTACAGCAAGAAACTCAATCTGTGGAGTCTGTCTTTGTGACCAGGTGATTTATTAGCTGCACTGTTCTAGCACTTAGAGTAATAATGACACTAAACTCTATACAAGAGTTTTTAATGTTCAAAAACATCTTCACATACTAAGTAAATATTTCAAGCATAAAAATCTCAGTTTTCCATGCTGAAGTTCTTTGGAAACTAAGTTAACCTCTAAGTAAGGACTGACAATTAAATTAAGCTATTTCTTCCCTCTAAAGTGTATTAATGGTTAAGTAAAAGTTTGATTCCATATCTTCATAGTAAAATGATGAATAGTTTTTTGGAAAAAAGTAACATTAAACAATATGAATAGTCAAAATGGTATTCTTAAATAGTTATTATCCTAAAGATGTCTAATACAGCATTTCAGGACATATTTCACTCTTTTTGTTTTTTAAACTAATATTTAGTAAGTGAGGTATATTCTTTCCCCAAAGGTATCATTTAAAGGATGTGATTGTTGGAAAAATTTACTTCTTATTAGTAAGAATAAAAATCCAACATATGGAGTTACAACTGATCAAAAAAGAGATCACAGGAATTGGTAAGTGGAAAAGAATATTTGGATTAAAATTCATGTTTTAATTGAAATTTAAAATTTTTTAAATAATTTCAATCTTTTGCTGTTAGAGACAGTGCTTCAGTTAATGTCGTTTTGCATGTGTGTGGGTATGTGTGCAAGATAAAATTTTAGAAGTAGGATTGCTGTTTCAAAGGGTATATTCATTTGTAATTTTGATACACATTGCCTCGTTAGGGGTTGTACTAATTTGCTTTACTATCAGCAGTGAATATAGGAGGGTGCCTCTTCTTCCTCATAGTCTCACCAGCACAGTGTTATAAAACTTTCAGGGCCAGCCCTGGTGGCCTAGTGGTTAAGTTCAGCATGCTCTGCTTTGATGGCCCAGGTTCAGTTCCCTGGGCACGGACCTACACCACTTGTCAGTGGCTATGCTGTGGTGGCAGCTCACCTACAAAAAAAAAGAGGAGGACTGGCAATGGACGTTAGCTCTGGGTGAATCTTCCTCAGCAGAAAAAAAACCTTTCAGCTGATCTGATGGGTAGGGGGAAGAAGTTCCCCATTGTAGTTTTAATTTAGTGTTCTCATTTTGAGTGAGGGTGAGTATCTTTTCATGTGTGTAAAAACCATTTGTATTTCTTTTCTCTAAACTGCCTATCCATATCCTTTGCTTCATCTCTATTGGTTTATTAGTCTTTTCTTATTGATTTGTAGAAACTCTTTATATATTAGGGAAATCAATCTCTTTTTCTGTATTAAGAGCAGCAAAAATTGCCCCAGTTTGTCTTGCTTATGGTGGTTTATGCCATGTAGAAGTTCTTGAGGTTTATGTAGTTAAATTTGTAAGTTTTTCCTTTTATGAACTCTGGGCTTTGTGCCACAATAGGAAAGGCCTTTTTCACACTGAGGTTCTAAAAATAATTTTCTGTGCTTGATTCTACTAAAATAATACATTATAGTTTGGGGATTTTGTTTACATTTTTAATTCATTTGGAATTTGTCCTGATGTAAGATACGAGGTATGGACTCAACTTGACTTTTTTCCAGATGGCTGATCAGTTGCCCCCAAATCATTTATTGGTTCATAACGGCTTTTAAATTTTAATTAGTATATAGATTTAGTTTGTCCCCTTTAACTTTGTTGATTTTTTTGCTGAAAATAATTTTAGGCAACACTTTTTAAGAATTTTATAATTGGTAGTCATAATTATAAACATCTATGATTTCTTAATCTCCATTTTTCACCTGCTAATAAAAGTTGAAGTGATTTAAAGATATGAAAACCAAACTTCAAGTTCCCATTGAAAAGAAATTATTTAAACATTTTTTTATGATTATAAAAATTATATTTGATTCTAGAAAATTTTAAATAAAAAATAATCTGTACTCATCATCCAGAACAGACTTTAGTCTTTGCATATTGTATATTTTACAACATTGAGATCATTACTATATGTTTTGGTATACTTTTTCCACTTAGCATATAATTGACTTTTTAAAAATGTCTAGGTACAATAATTTCTTAGAGGGTGATAGGTTCAATAATTTCTTAGAGGGTGAATCCCCAAATTTAAAAGAACTATATTTCAATCAAGTATTCAGTTAGATGTTTTGTCTGTGTTAAAGTTAACTAACTCTGAGAGAAAACAGTTTGGGTCTTGCAGAGAAAACTAGCATATAAATGGTTAGTTTTGATGTGTATTGCTAGTTTCTATTTTAGCAGATATTAGAAACGAGAGAAAGAATTCTGTCAAGAAGATTCTTTCTACAGTGTATATTACCTTTGGGAAGAAGGGAGTGAAACATTCAGTTGAGTAATAAGTTATGTTAAGTGTAGACCAAGAAATAGAAAAGAATGATCAACATTTTCACAAAATGGGCAGATAATTAGTGCTAAAATAATATAGTTGGAAAATAGGAAGAAGGTATAAGGCTGGAAATTATATTCTGGAAATATTTAAATTAATATCATTTACATTATTGCATTAGGACCCAGCACCACAACAGAAACAGAAACAATCGCTAAATATGAAATAATGGATGGTGCACCAGTAAAAGGTAACCCACTTTTCATTTACTTCTTTCATGTTATAGGTTGTGCAAACAGCAGGGTTCATGGCAGTTTAGTTTGAAAGTATTTATTCAGTGTGAAAGTATTTGTGAATTCTTCTTACAGTGATAGTTTTTAAGATCATCTTTGTATAGATACTGAGAAGACTGTAGTAGTACCTCCTAGTCTGAAATAAGGTTTAGTTCTTAGTTTAAATTTAGAATTTAGAAGAGACATTTATATATCTCTCTCATCTATTTCTGTATTTGTAATATTTTGATTGTCTTGTTATAATAGTTCATCCCTGTAAATCTTTTTTACTCATGCTGAACATAAGGTACAGTATAGCTGAGCATTAATTCCTGTGGGATTTTGGAGTCCTTTTAGCCCCCAAGAAAATAAGCAGTTCATTACTAGATAACCTTCAGTGTCTAAGATAGTGAAGCCAGTAATTTATCATCTTGAATTTATGTCATTGGCTTTTTCTCAACCTGTTAGTAATTACTTCAAAAAGCAACTAGCATTTATTGAGTGCCAGCTGTAGATGAGGCATTGTACTCTCAGGTGCTCTAAAGTTCCCCACCACCCTTTGCATTAGGCGGTAGTATCCCTTATTTTACAGATGAAACTGAGATGCAAAGAGGTTAAAAAACTTGTTAAAGGTGATATAGTGTAGGAGAGGCAGAACTTTACCTCTACTCATCTTAGATTTTCAGCTGGGACTCTTTAACAAAAAGACAGATTAATAAGAGAACAACAGGTTATTAATGCATGCAGTGCACATCACGTGGGAGAAACCTCAACAAAATGTAACTCAAGGTGGTAGCTTAGAATTTCAGCTTATATAACATCTTCAAAAGAACAATACATTTGGAGACAAATGACTGGACAAAGGAAAGCAGTTTTAGGCTTCCAAGGGTGGCAAACTGGGGGAAGGTACATACATGGAAGGAAACTAATAGAGTAAGGTTTGTTTGCAGATTCCTCTGGTGCTATTCCTGGGCTGATAAGAGTCTGTCTCCAGTAAAAGGAGAATTTATATTGTGCCTTTAGGCAAAAAAGGGGGAGCCTTTTCTGCTTTTGCTCCTTCTTAATTGCCCTCAGCTCAAAATAATTTTTATGTCAAAGAGGCATATTTTGTGGTGACATATTCTGGTTTCCTTCAATAGCTAATCATTGCAGAGTTGGAGTTGGAGCCTAGGGCTTTCTGACTCTAGGACCCCATGTGTGTGTACTCTTGTTGTTATGCAACATTACTTTGTAAAATTCCAGCAGCCACAAATTTTTATGTAAAGTGATGGGTCGTATATCTTTCAGGAAATAGACATGCACAAGAAAAGTATTACATAAAAGATTCAAAGCAGAATATGCAAATAATTACCCTTAGGAAAAGAAAAGCCATGAGAATCTGAATAGCAATCTTTTTGGTAATGACCGAATGTCATCATTCTGAACATGTTTGTTGCTTTGGATGAATTAGTTAATGAGTATTCAAGAATTTATACACATGATTAGACATCATGGTAAACTTCATGAAAGCAGAAAATAACAAAACTAAAACAGCACTTACCTGCTGGCACTGTTGTAAGCTTTTTATGTATGTTAACCCATTTAGTCCTTACAAATTCTGTATAAGATGGATATTACTGGTATTCCCCATTTCACCGATGAGGAACTTGAAACAGAATGGTTAAGTGACTTGGCCAAGGTCACACAGCCAGTAAGTTGTAGAGTTGGGATTTGAATTCAGGCATTCTGGCTCTAGAGCAGTGGTTCTCATCTAGGGGCAATTTTGCTCTCACAGGGGACATTTGGCAATGCCTGGAGACATTTTGATTGTCACACTTGGAGAATGCTATTGGTGTCTAGTGGGTAGAGGCCAGGGATGCTGCTAAACCTCCTACAGTGCATAAGACCCTACCTACAACAAAGAATTATCAGGCCCAAAATGTCAATAGTGCCAAGGCTGATAAACCCTGGTCTTAAGTTTTTATTATGCTGCAGTCTCATGAGGAACTGAAGCGTTAGTATCTTCTCTATAATGCTTAGTTCTAGGTATGTGACTATATTAAATCATCTTTTAGAATTAAATGGAAATTGCTTCTCTTTCAGGTGAATCAATTCCAATAAGACTATTTTTAGCAGGATATGACCCAACTCCAACAATGAGAGATGTGAACAAAAAATTTTCAGTAAGGTACTTTTTGAATCTAGTCCTTGTTGATGAGGAAGACAGAAGGTACTTCAAGCAGCAGGTACGGTGTCACCCATGCTGGTAGTTTGTTCTATGGCAGTTCTGAAAACAGCTGGAAAGCACTCACTTTTCTAAGCCTTATTGTACTGAGCAAGTGGGGGTTTCTAAGTGAAAACACTTGGCGTATGATAAGGAAGTAGGAGGGAATGGAATTGTGTTGTGATAGATCTCTTCCCAGCCATTCTGCAGGACTCCAGGATGGGCTATGATTTGGCTGGGTTTTTATTTTTCTCTTGAAAGTTATGTTTTTCATAAAAACAATGCTTGGTGTTTGTTAAAAAAAAAAAAAATCAGCTTTCCGTGCCGCTAGTACTCTCACAAACATGGTGAACGTTCCTAAAACCTGCCGGACTTTCCGTAAGACGTGTGGCAAGCACCAACCCCACAGTGACACAGTACTAGAAGGGCAAAGATTCTCTGTATGCCCAGGAAAAGTGGCGTTATGACAGGAAGCAGAGTGGTTATGGTGGGCAGACTAAGCCAATTTTCCGGAAAAAGGCTAAAACTACAAAGAAGATTGTACTGAAGGGTGAATGTGTTGAGCAGATCTAAGAATGCTGGCTATCAAGAGATGCAAGTATTTTTGAACTGGGAGGAGATAAGAAGAGAAAGGGCCAAGTGATCCAGTTCTAAGCTTCATCTTTTGTCTTATTATGAAGACAATAAAATTTTGAGGTTATGTTTAAAAAAAAAAAAAAATCAGGTAATAAAGAACAGAATGGGGGTCAGCCCCGTGGCTTAGTGGTTAAGTTCAGGCACTCCACTTTGGCGGCCCACGGTTTGCAGGTTCGAATCCCGGGCATGGACTAATGCACTGCTCATCAAGCCATGTGTGGTGGCATCCTATAAAGACAGTAGAGGAAGATGGGCACAGATATTAGTTCAGAGTCAGTTTTCCTCAGCAGAAAGAGGAGGATTGGCAACAGCTGTTAGCTCAGAGCCAATCTTCCTCAGGAAAAAAAAAAAAAACAGAATGAAGTAGAGGTCAACAATAATTCTACCACCACTGTGATTAGTTTTCCAGACAACTTTGTGTATGTGTGTTTAGATCATATTATGCATGTTGTTCTTTAATTTGCTTTTTCATTTGGTAGTGTCTTGAATATTTTTCCTTTATCAATGAATATAGATTTCCATGATCATGTTTAATGACTGTATTACTTGATGAATTTAGGGGTTTCCATTTTTCCCTTATTAAACAATTCTGTTATCAGTGTCCATGAGATGACCCAAATCTATTAATTTTTTTATATAAAATGTTTATTATAAAACTTGTTCTCATTTGAAAATCAATCAAAAGCCCTTGGTGAATCTGTAATGAAGATTGTGATTAGAATGGTCTTTTGTATTCTGAAACAGATTAATAAATATTTGAATGCCAGTTGACTGTTCAAAACTAAATTAGAAATTATTGTTTGCTGAGTACTGTGAGGAATACAAAAACTACCTTTTATACATATGGTTTGTCCTCAAGGTCCTCACATTGCAGATATATGGAAAAAGAACAAGCATATAAGTTAATTAACAGAAAAATTAATAGTTTAACGGTAATTTAGAAGAGAAAACTTATTCCACTAATGCTTCCATAGTGCTATATAATTAAACATAGGTAATTTATAACTTCAGAATAGATCATATGAGATTTACAATTCCCAAATCAATTACATATTGTGGCCCTATTGAGTAAGTATATTGCTTCCCATGGGCATTCATTTGGATGCTTAAATTCTGATATGTTAGTTTAAAAAAAAATGAAATAGCCTTTATTAAGCAAATAATTTTAGGAATTTAGAAGAAAAGAGATCTCAGGATGGATTGGTTAGGGTAAGATTTAGATAGGCAAGAAATAGGGGTTTGAAGAATATATCGGGGAAGATGTAGGGCAAGTTTATTTGGAGTGCATTGGAGGCAGAGAGTAACTCATTTTGGCTGGTGGGGGACAGGGGTCTAGGGACAGAAGGGAGTGATGTTGGTAAATTGGATAAAGGCTATGGAGGGCCTTGAATGCCTGGTTGGAGAGTTATCCTGGAGTCACTGAGAACTATTGAAGAGGATTCCAAGCAATGTTTTAGACTAATCTGGTAGTGATAGGAAGGATGGATTAGAAAGGGGCCTCAGGCAAGGGAGGCAGAGCCATCTACTAGAAGCTATTTTAGTATCTAAGGTTGAAGTGTCTAGGGCTTGAACTTGGATAATGGCAGTGGAACAGCAAACCAAAGGACAGATTTTAGGAATTTTTTAAAGCAATAATAGCTAGAACTTTGAGCCTGATTGGATTGGTGATGGTGGTGTGCTTGGGTGCTGGTGGGGGAGCCGAGTTGGCAGGAGGGGCAGTCCAAGATTAGAATTGGAAGAAAGTGGGTCAATCAGGAAAGACCAGGGCTTGTGTAGGGAAGGATGTAATTTTGTTATGGATAAAACTGAAGTGGCTGTATTTCCATGTGAAAATTTAAGGCATAATGTGAGAACATTAATTTGTTGATATCTTGCATTTGTTTTATTAGGAGATCATTTTATGGAGAAAAGCCCCTGAAAAACTGAGGAAACAGAGAACAAACTTTCACCAGCGATTTGAATCTCCAGAATCACAGGCATCTGCTGAACAGCCTGAAATGTGAACTGAATAGGAGAAAAAAAGGAAAACAAAAAACTCCTATATCCGTTGAGATTAAGTTTGGCAGGGTAAAGATGGTTGCAGCGTGTAGGGAGAAAAAGGCCAGAACTCCATTTATAATAGTCTTCCTTTATCTTACAGTGCTGCATTTATTTTATGATATAATGAAATGTTCTTCGTGTATATACATTAAAGAAAATGCTTTCTTTGAAACACTGGAACTTTCCTAAGCTGCCGGTTTGTTTTTTTACTGCACACTTTGATTTGATGATAAGCACTCAGATATGCCTCAGCATAAACATTAAAGATTTTCATGTGAGTAGGCTGGTATTTGTAATTTTGCTTTCTTTCTGCATAACGTTGATTATAAACCCTTTTCTTCTCCTTTTTCATGCTAATGATTACCTCTTACTTTCTACATGCAAAAATTAACTATTTTGTGTTCAAATAAAATTACAAAACCTGAGTGGCCCTTACGTCCTGCAAAGATTTAAAACATGGCATCTCAATATTTTTGAGAACTACATTTATGTTTTTACATATGTGTTTGAGAAATGCATATGGAGTGTTTCACTGTAGGTGCTTCTGAGTCTACCATTCCATGGCTTCCTGGATTTTATCCTCTTTTAAGTCTTCTGTGGTATGACTATTTTTTTTCCCCCAAGGGATTATGTGGCATGTCTTTGTAGCCGCCTTTTTTTTTTGGCCATATTAAGTAACCATTTTGCTACTGCTATCCAGCAGGTACCACTGTCTGTTTTCTGCAATGTGGAATTGACTCTATGTTGGCATTTTAGAATTCGTTCAAACTATATAATTTTTCCATATATACTTTGAATTTGTTTTTAATTTAAGGAATTTTTTTACCACATATAAGCAAATATAACTTTCTTGACTTCACAAATATTCTCTTCCCTTTTCAGGAGAAAATTTGAGGATGGGGACTCAGGAGGACCAGTGAAGCATGTAGTTATCCAGATCTGGGGAATTTCATGTTTGTTAATCAAATTTAAACTTTATTGACTCTTTAAATTTTTTTTAACACTAAATTCAAGTCACTTGTTCAAAGTCTCTAAAAAAGAAGGCTGCAGTCATCTGTTCATATGCATGGGCTCTGATCTCAAATACACTAAATGTGGGATGTAGGAACTAAAATAAAGCCTGCTGTGTGAAACTACTTTCACTTATGGTTCATTGGTTTTTGTACCAATAATTTTTTATACACTTCAGTGCAAGTCTTGTCAGTTAACCTTACTTGATGAGTAAGCTAAGTAACCCAAATTACATTTCTTTAAACCTATTTTACTACTATGGCACTTTGATAAAATGGTCAGTAACCAACTTCTTTGCTGGCAAAAGGTTCCATGTGCCATGTGCTGGAGCATCTATTTTAAATATGGGTATCTGTGAATGGTAATGTTTTCCTTCATGTAAGTGCCTGTTCAGAGTTTCAGAATTTAAAAATGCCAAATATTTTCATGGTCACTTGCATGTAGTAATCTAGAAAATACTCGAAATTTTTGAAAACAAATTGTATTTAACCAGCCTCAAATTGTGCAACCATAGTATATAATAAAGAATTTGAAACAGATACTGAGCTGGCTATTTGAATGATTAAAATAGTCCTATTCCCAAATCTCTTCTCGTCAGATTTATTGTTGAGGACAGGATTGCTCAGTAGTTTAGGAAGCTATAACTGTGACCATTAGTTTTTATAAATGTTGTCAGTTTCAATTTAAAATAGCTATATAATGCTTTTCATTAGGCAGCTTAAGCCACTGTCATAAATATCAGGCTTACTCACTTTGCTTGAGACTTTGTTGCATAACCAATTTGAAAATGAAAATCTGAATTCAGTATTTGGTGAACTGAATAAAGTTGGCCAGTTAATTAGAAATAAACTGAAAAAGAAACTTGTCTTTAATAAAGAGGACAATAGGGCCGGCCCCGTGGCTTAGCGGTTAAGTGCACGCGCTCCGCTGCTGGCGGCCCGGGTTCGGATCCCGGGAGTGCACCGATGCGCCGCTTCTCCGGCCATGCTGAGGCCGCGTCCCACGTGCGGCAGCTGGAAGGATGTGCAGCTATGACATACAACTGTCTGCTGGGGCTTTGGGGCAAAAAAATAAATAAAAAATAAAAATAGGACAATATCTAATCCAGTGGTTGTCAACCCTGGCTGCATGTTCAAATCACTAGGAGTTTTTAAAAATATGCTAGGTCCTACCCAGACCAATAAAATTAGAATTTCAGGGGCCCAGACATCAGCATTAAAAAAAGTTACCCAGGATTGAGAACCACTGTCTAAACCATTTATATAGTTATTTCTCCACTTGTGAAGAATTTGGGGGAAGAAAAACTTTTCCTCCACCCTCTTATGTCTTTGTTTGGGAGCCTGCTAATTAAACTGACAAAAGACAGATCAGCAAGAGAAAAGACAAATTTTAATTGAGTATAAGGGAGTTTATTAAAATGTGACAAATATATGGTTAGAAATTGGGGCTTATATATCATCTTGAGAGAGGAAAGAGAGGAGGGCGTGAAGGACACTTACAAATGACTTAATAGGGAAAGTTGTGGGGGAGAAAGGGCACTTCCAGGAAAGCAAATGACTTTTAGGAAAGGTAAATGGGCCCTTAGAATAGATGGTAGATATGATAGCATTGTGACCAAGTGCTTAGCTGTCTGGCTGACTTCTGTCTCTGGTGATAAGTTAATCTTTCCTGGTTGCTCCCTGAGGGGATTTATGAAAATTGAGTTCTGGGAGGCTCTGCTTCTAGTTAGATAGATTTCAGGAACTCAAATACCTCTACTCAAAATTTTTATGCGACAGTAGCATATTCTGGACCCCTTCAATATGGGTCAAGTAGTTGGAATACTCAATTCTAATTACCATGTGAGTCAGTAAAGTCTTAAGTTTAATTATGTTCCTTTTATATTCAGCTGAACCTGTTGAACATATATAAAGGCACTCGCCAGGGCTTTATACTAATCTGGATTGGAATGTAACATATTTTAAGTTTCAAATCAGACAAAGGCATAGTGAGGAAAATGTGCACCCTTAAGTATAACAGGTCTGTCTTGGGCTTGGGGTCTTCTATGAGCATAACTCTTATGTCACTCCCCTATCTAAAATCTTTTAGTGACTCAATTCCAGGATAAAATTAAAATACCATATTGCAAAACACCCCTTCAGCTCCAGTTATGCCAGACTCTTTGGAGAATGCCCGCCCTCTTGCCTGCACTCCATCTAACTCCAGCTCTCCTGCCCAATCTTGCCTGACACCATCTCCATCTCCAAGTCAAAGAGTTAGATGTCCCTTTGTTGTGCTGCCAAGACAGCCTATGCACACTTCCAGGACTGTGCTTACCACACTTTTAAAATACTTTTTCATTCTATGGATTTTAAGCCTCTTGAGAGCTCAGTCTGTTTTGTTTTGGTATACCTTGTGCTTATCACATAATATACACTTGATATCTGAATAAATGGATGAACATCATTTTCCTAGTGATTATAAAATTAAAGGTGTCCTCCTTTAGAAAAAAATATGGGTCCAAATGTAATAAAATTATGGATAAGAACTGTTATTGCACCTCAGTATTAAAATAAAGGAAACAGCCTAGCTTCCCTAGGAGTGTTGTCAGGCCCTGGAGAGAAAGCAAGACAGAGCAGAGCAGGACCATGTGGGCGCTACCTACGAATTCCACAAATGCATCTGATAGTTGCCCCCTCCCTAGGTTTGGGGAAACTGGACCAAATAATTTCTAAGACCCTTCCTGCTCTAAATTCCATGATTCTAAGAGTAAATCTTAAAAATTCACTTGGAAAAACAATTTAATATCTAGATCATGATAAACTTACATCAGAAAAATACTATAAACTTTAGATTACAGAATTTGGTAGGCAAGATGTGAGGGGGAGAAATGTACAAGGACATGCTTTTGTGAAAACTTCTATACGAGGTTTTGTTAATAGCAAAGGCAAAGAAGAGAAGAACCTGCTGATTTTATTCCCTACCACCTGGGTTATCTTTACTACTCCCACTTCCTTTCTCCCTCTCCCATTTATTTCTGTATTTATGCATACATTCAGCATGTTTCCTGAGTATCTCAGTGCTATTTCATTGGCCCTACCCTGAAAGAACTACAATCCAGAGCAGTCGTTCTCAAAGTGTGGTCCCCAGAGCAGTAGCTTCAACATCATCTGGAAACGTATTAGAAATGTAAACTCTTGGGCCCCACCCCAGACCTACTGAATCAGAAACTCCAGGGGTAGGGCCTCACCAATCTTGTTTATAACAAGTTTTCCAGATGATTCTGATGCACCTTCAAGTTTGAGAACTACTACTCTCGAGACACAATTATGATACAATTTTAGTGCTGTGATAGCAGTTGTACTAGGTCCTCTGGTGTACGAGAGCACCCAACGTGTTCGGAAGGGAGAAATGATGACGTAACTGGTGTGTAGTTCTGGAATGAATAGAAGGATAAATATGGGGAGTAGAGAGATGAGGCTGGAAGAGGCATATAAAGAGAGCCAATTTAGGAAGGGGCTTGGATGCTGTACAAATGAATGGAGTGGGGGCTTTATCTGAACACTTAAGAGTTCAATGAAGGATTTTAAGCAGGAGTAACTTAATCAGATTGGTGTTTCCAAAAGATCATTATGGTAGACTGTGCAAAGTATGGATGGAGGCTTGAGAGCGGGCAAGGATACCAGTTACATGTTATTGCATTCATTCATTCAACAAACAAAACACGTATGGAGGCTCTAATACATGCTAAGTGCTGATAACACTTAGTGCTATAAATATCTTTCAAAGAGAATGACAGCTTTCTATCCTGTAAGAATAAAAATGTTATGTTGATTTTTCCCATTTCAGTGTTTATAGAACTCTATGAAAGGCTGAAGGGGAAAACCTATATACACTATCATAAAATTCAGACTGCACTTTATACCTGCAAGAGGTACAAAGTTACCAGCTAAAATAGTTTTAAGATTTTTTTTCCTGCAAAACTATATTAGGGTATGTTACTATGTCCATAAGATTAGCAACAACTGTTGATTCTGGCCCAAAAACTATAAACAGTTGTCAGGAATATTAATAAAAGGAATAATAATGCTTGCCTCAGTTGCATATTAAATATCTGGCTTATCCATTCTCCAAGTTTCCAAATCTGATGAGACATCCTTGGTTAATGCCGTTTTCTATCATATTTAGTCACTTACTAAATTGTCTAACGATTCCTTTGTAAAATCTCTGCATTACATATACACAGCCTCTACCATAATTCAGACACACTAATCCACCATCTTCAGCTAGAACATTTGCTATAGTTATAATTGGTTTTCCTTCCTCTGTGTTTTTTTTTTTTCCCCCGGGGGGGGGGTGTTTGTTCCAGTCTATCCTGGATATTTTCTAAACTGATTTCTCAAAAATTTAATGACTATTTGTAAAACATACAAAGAGGCCTACCTTAACTGTGGTATTTAAAATTTTTCAAGACACCTTTTGCACAGTTAAGCTTCTGCTTACATAGCTTCTTCTGACTAGAATTTCCTGACCACTTCTCTATCTGTCTTGTTTACTTTTAAGTCTTGCAGAAATCTCTTTCATTGATCTGTGTGTCTGTTTTTGTGCCAGTACCATGCTGTTTTGGTTACTATAGCTTTGTAGTATATTTTGAAATCAGGGAGTGTGAT